ACCGGGCCTCACCAAGAGGAGGGGCCTCACAGGGCCAACCCTGTTTGGGATTCGATTGGTGGTCTGGCAGGGGGGCTTGTGCTGAGGCAGGCCTGGCTGGAGTAGGTGGGCTGTGTGATGTATTCATCATCACAGACGTTTACAGCTGTGTGTGGGGCACGCTGGTACTCTCCCTAGGACTAGTTGGAGGTCGGCTACGCAGGGAATTGAGCAGGCGATTATCAGCTTGCTTTGGTTCTAGGGGATTGGGAGAGGAGCTGAGGGTGGCCAAGTTGTAGGGGTTTGTGTTCTCGCGGTAAGACAAGGGATGGATGCGTTCTGTGTGGGCTCTTATTAGCCATCCCTAGCGATTCTGCTCTGTCTAAGCAGTGGGCCTTCCCTGGTTCCCCCTGCGAGCAGCCACTCCCTCCTCCTCCCATGCAACAGATCCGAGACAACCCACTTTGTCTGCGTACTCTCTGCCACAAACTGACCTATACCCTGTTTGGGCGCTCTGTGACTGCTGTCTCCAGACTTGTTGGCCACTACTGAGGCCCCCTTTCTGCCAGGGTGAAACTCCGTGTTTAAACTCCTTCAATCCTGGACCACTAATAGCCTCGCAGCTGAGTGCCTGGTCTTCCCCTGTTTCCTCTAAAACTCTGGAACTGGGTGTCAGATGGCGTTGAGTGGATAAGACTGGGCCCAAGGCCTCCCTCACTATCACCTCGGGTCTTTGCCCCTGCTGTTCCGTCTGCAGTGCTGTTCCTGCTGGTGTCCAGTGGAGAGCTTTCTGGAGCTGTTGGGGGCCCGACCCTTGGCCTTCTGCTGGGAAAGCCATCAGCCCCCACCTGACTTCTGACCTTGTGTGAGAGAGAGGCTGCTCTGGGAGAGGCTTGGAAAGCCCAGGTCGCTCCCTGAGGCCACCCTCTCCTCCCAAGCCCCTGTCCAAGCCCCTGGGGGTTGGAGGGCAGAGTCTCCTGAGGGTAGCAGAGGGGTGGGGCAGCGGCAGGGGCTGGATGGGAGTCTGGAGCCAGGGTCAAGCCTGGGCGTCTGTGTGCCTTGGCGCTTGGGTCAGGCCCTTCACCTACTGAGGCCTCAGTTTCCCCGACTGTCAATGGGTGGGGTGGGGCTTTCTGGCCGGCCACCTGTAACAGAGGTTGAGTTGGTTCTGGAGTGAGCTGCCTGGGTTTAAGACCCGGTTCCTCCTTCCCCTGGCTCTGGGTCCTGGACGAGCCCCTGGGGTTCCCCAGGCCTCAGCTCCCTCATAGGGTGAGGTGACCATCAAGGGTCAGTACCTGCTGGGCTTAGGACAGCGCCTGAGGCTGGGAATATCTGTCTCTGATGTCTCAGCCACTGAGTCAACCATCCCTCCTTAATTCACCTGAACCTGTCATTCTTCCATTCTTCTCTATCAGCACCCACCTAGCATCCAGCCCTTCCCTGTCCAAGGCTGCAAAGTCACTTTCCAAGCCAGGGTCTCCCATAGCGGTGCTCATACTGTGCCAGCGGTTGGAAGGCGGTGCTGGCCACAGGAGCTGCTGGCCCTGGCCTGCCTTGCTGCTCAGTGCCTCAGCCCTGTAGTGCAGGGCAGGGAGCCTTGCCCCGGATTGGGCCATGCCTGACACCCCCTAACCCCATGTCTGGGCTCCATAGTCACAGGAGCTTTGTCCTCCTCTTCCACCTCGTCCTCATCTTCCTCGTCCTCGTCATCTGGCCTGTGGTCCTCGTCCTCGTCCTCTCCCTCCTGCTGTGCTTGCCCTCTTCCTGGCCGTGCAGGGATGCTTGTAAGCCTCAGCTACCCGGTATGGAGGATACCTGCTCTGGGCAAGCATCGCGCCCCCAACTCCTTGGCCCTCCCCTGCCACCCTCAGGCCCCAGGGCAGCCTACCTGGTGTGGCCTCCGGCCCCTGCACACCCTGCTCACTGTCCTGCAGCCGAGTGTGCCCTGGCACACTAGTTACAACAGCAGCTGCTGTGGGCTGGCCCTTTATGGTAGCCCCGACTCAGTCCTGCCTCTGGGAGCACCGGGCCTCACAGAGGAGGGCCTCACAGGGGACACCTTGTGGGTGTGTGGGGCAGGGCTTGTGCTGAGGGCAGGCCTGGGGGCCCTGGGAGTAGGGGTGGGCTGTGTGTGGTGGGCACGCTGGACGCCCTGGCTAGGGAGTGGTCGGCTCGCAGGTTGGATGCGGCGATTAGCTCTGCTTTGTTCTGGGGATGGGAGAGAGCAGAGGGTGGCCCAGTGTGTAGGGGTGTGTCGGACGGGGGGGTGGGCTCTTATTAGCCCCACTCTGCTCTGCTCATTTTGCCCCCTCCCTAGCACAGGGTAGCCTGTC